CACAGAAACCAAACCAGGCACTTTCTTTGGAAAATTGAATTGGCGTATCGAAGAACCCGATGGTGAATTCTTCACTCGAGACGCATTACAACGTTTCGTTCAAGATCCGAACCAACCGGCCCATTTGTTGAATCACGACAATGAATACTTGCATTATCAAGATGATTGGTACATTATTGATTATGAACCCGATCCAGCCACTACTGGATCGTCATCATTATCGACAACTCCGGATTCCGCTCAGACTCCTCCCTTTGCCTTTGTCTATTACCGCGGTTCCAACGATGCCTGGGATGGGTACGGTGGTGTCGTGGTGTACACTCGGGCCTCGCAATTGCCGGAATCGCTCCTGCCACGCCTCCGCGCGGCCGCCAAGAAGGTGAATATGGACTTTGATCGAGACTTTGCCATTACTGACAATAGTTGTCCCACCATTTCACCGTCGGAACGTGCCGTCTTGAGAGAACGATTTGCTGGCAAAGTAGTGCTGGAGACAGAACAACAAGTACAGGCGGCGGCCACGAGAGTTCGAGGGAATGCCCTGAATGGAGTCAAGGCACAGCAATTATTTGTACAAAAGGAAATTGGACAGGCGGAGGCGGCATTTGAGGAATTGTCGCAGAAAACTGTCGAGTTTGAGGAAGAAGTTGTGCAGAATGCTGTGGAGGTCGTCAAGGAGGTGGCGGCGGTGGGGAAGTGAAATCGAGATTTACTACTACTGTTGCGACAGATTGATACTCGCACGTCGCATGCGGCAGACTACGACTGCCGGTAGCTCTAGTAGTATGGTGCCATAAACTCATTCCATTAGGATAGGATAGAGCAAGTATTACAGCAAAATTCTATGCTCCCAGACACTGAAATTTCTTTATGCTCCATAATTCAGAAGTGGGCTGTTCCTACTGCCGATGCAAAATGTGGCATGTCAACATTCTACTCGGAACCCAGAGAATCATTGGATTCCAAGCTATCTAGCGTCACAGGTCGGGCCACCTTGCTGCGAGACTGCAAACTGGGCATATCCACTAGGTCTGGATGCCGAGTAAATCGCGGAGGAGGAACCTGCGCCGTCGGTGACGTTGCCACCACGTGATCATCAAACGGCGGCATCATGGACAATGCGGGCGATGCCACGTTGACCAGCTCAAAATGACCGTCGTCCTCCAGGTTCACCATGGGCCGTTCGGCACTTGTTGGGGAGTTGGTAACCAATAGGTGCGAACTTCTGACGATCGGACGACGCCCTCCCATGGAAAGTGGAATCACATCCTCCGAAAATCCGTGCTCCTTGCCTTTGCCATACACGAGGGGGCGGTCATTGCTATTGACGCTCCTCAATTCAGCGGTGCCAATGCTGTAGTCATCGTCATAATCGTCAGGATTGTTCTGAGTCGGATTGAAAAAGAACTTTTGTCGCCCGTAGAATGCTAATCGCAATCCAAACTGCTGCAGAAAGGCGAAGAGACCCACCAAAAAGAACCCAATGATACAAAATGCGAGGGTCCAATCCACAAATTCGTCAGACGAAATCATGCCACCATTCGATTGGTCGAGGGGTTGTGGGATCTGCATTTGGGCTTCCAGAATATCAAAATACGGCGGAGCCAGATTCATCTGAAAATAAAAATTTCCGTCCAAATACATGTACCCCACAACCGTGGTCGAATTTCCCGTCGCCATACCAAACAGCGGATCCGTCCAACACCGTTGCAGTGCTTGTGCGACGAGCACTCCATCCCCGCTCATCATGCTCTCCACGTCCTTTTCCCATCGCGCTGCATTGGCCGCCTTTTGTGCTGCATCGGCCGCATGCTCAGCGGCATCGGCGGCCCGTTCCGCCGATTCGTGCGTCGACGCATTCTTGGCCTCCTGAGCGGCCTCGTGAGCTTCGTTGGCGGCCTTTTCGGCCTCGGTGGCGGTATCGATAATCGGGGATAATGAGGGAGAGAAGGTCAGGTTGTTGGGGGAATCGGTGGGAGAGAGCGTGAGATTGTGGGAGGCCAATTCACCGAGGAAGACGTCGTCATGCTCGGCAGTGTCATCCACGTGGGGCTCCTGAGTGCTTTGATCTAGAAACCGTCTTGATAGTTCATTGAGTCGTCGCCATAGTGACATCCGTCTCGTTATCTGACCAATGTCGTCATAGTCGTCATAGTCAGTCATGGCTCTTATTGAAGCCCTTCGGCCAGCGTTATTTCCACTCCCCTCACCTGCAACAGAACCATCACCACTTCCCGCAGCATCGGTTAGATTCTTCGCTTTCACATTATCACTGTCGACAACGTTTCCATTGGTGTCGTCGCCGCCAGAACCAGTCCCAGCTTTATTGGCGGGAACATCACGATTTTTGCTTGGTTCATTCGTGGTCGCTGCTGCAAGTGACGGAACGGTAGGTGCACCCGATGGCTCCACCACACTTGGGAATGCCGTCGGCAATTCATGTTGACTTGGTTCTTCAGTGATTGATGCTGTCGGAGTCATTGTCGACGGTGCCAAACTTGGCATGGATGTTTCGTAGGAGGAGTAATCTCCAGTTGAAATGGCCTTCCAGCATGTGGAGAAGGATTGAAAGAACTGTGCGGCCAATTGGGGCACGTACTGTCCATTCTGATCGTAACCCGATACTTTGACAATCTTGCCCGAGGCGTGCAGACGCGGAACAAAGGTTGGTGGTGACAAGATGGGAGTTAAGTCGACGCCCAAATCAACCATATCGGACCACATTTGGTAGCAAAAGTCCACGGATGAAGATGATTTGACAAGTTGTTTCGTACCCGAGGGTTTGGCTTCAACATGTGAGGTGTCGGTGTCGGAGGCCGCGACGCTCACCACAGCAAAAGGTTGATACCGAGGTTTAAGAGTACTGTAGAGAGCTGCCTTTTCCAGAATCTTTTCTAAAACAGCGCCCGTCAAAGATGCCATGTAATAGGCAGACTTCCAATGGTAGGATCGGATGGCAGCCGTTGTATAGTAAACTTTCCCTTCGTTGTCCCACGACAAATGGTTATCTGTAATGACCACGGGCATGCTCTCGTCCTGAAGTTGTGATCCCAATCGTTTGGGACCGTATTCGAGGGTCAATTCGAGCGGTGGCTTGTGAGACGATCCACCGAATCGCAACCCAATAGCCATTTTTTGGATTGTTGCATTGTGGAAACCTCCCAATGTCACAGTTCGAGTCAGAGAATAACACTCCAATACGTCCGACGCGTCCAAGTCTCTAATCAAAGTCGATGCAACGGACCGAGTGAGGATTTGCGGCAGCAGAGGAGGATTCGACATGGTACAATGTTGCTACAATGTTACGGTTTCTGTATGAGCCAAGGATAGATGCAAGCCGAAATAGGCATTGCCGAGATATGAGCTCTTGGAGAGGCATCCCGCTTGGCGTACTGGTTACATACGGTACTGGTATTACACCGTGTTCCGAGCACTGAGCCGCATGGATGTTTGGCGGACGGAGGATGGTCGCCAATCTCGTTATGTCTCTCCACTCACCACTCATCCAGTACCTGTACACCAGTACTGTAAGAGGTACGGTACGTATTTATCGTACTGCAGTACCCTGTACTGTACAGCGACTACAATGGCACTGGAGTGTACAAGTACTGTGAACTCAGAGCCTACGACTACTGGAATACTGGTACACTGCAATGTGCTCCCTCCGTCGGGAATTGCAACATTTTTATTCCGTATTTGAGAAGATTCTGTCATTCTACCAAAACATCATGATATTTGATGAAAAACATGCACACAGATATTCAGGAGCATTCTGGCATGTATGTGAGGCCCTTGTTTTGATCCTAGTACTAATGTGCATCAACACAAGCAAGCCTTATCAAGGAAGCAAAAAGGCAGATGTGGCTGGTCAAAAGAAGGAGTGGGATCCTGAGTATTCCTCTAGAGGTACAAAAATGGTACCGCAGCAAGAATGACAGTCTGTGTGGAGGTCCCATTATACTTGGAACAAATTTATGCAGCCAGTAGCTATGCAAGGAAAAGTATCAAGGAGACTTTCTTGTCAACATGGTTGCTTGTGTATGCAATGAGGCAGCTAAAGCCAAACATCCTGGTAGTAGAGATCAAGAAATGATGACAATTCAGCAACAACATGGAGCATCAGCTCATATCAGTGATGACGATGAGGAGTTGCTTGGAGAAATTGGAAATGATTTGTGGAGCATTGCCTTGTTGAAAACCCAGCAACCAGCAGGTACTAAGTTGCCCGACTTCAAGAATCTCCTGGACTTGTCACTTTTTATAATTAACTCTGCTGCCTTGTTTAACAAACGCGTGGCACAGATGCTACTTTTAAGAAATGTTTGAACATCCAAGGAAGCTTGATTGTGTATATCCTACCTGCACATCCATTGATGACACGTTGGCAATCCATGACTGGTGACAGTAGTACTTTATCGTCAAATCAACACAATGTTTGCAGAAAGGACACCAGCAGGCTTGTTGCACCAGCCGGAACTGATAAACTGACAATTTATGGGAGAGAAATGACAGAGCAGAGGGAATAATCATTGCTGGGGAGTAAGGCAAGAACGTATGTGATTGCTCCAGAATTGATGATGCTGCGGCCGGTACACATCGCTCGTCGCTGTCTAGTATTGTGACAAATAAAAAAGAAACCCACTTGTTGTAGTATTTGTATGATGCATGGCTTAAAGGAGACATTTCTATGATATGAATGGTTGAACTTGAGTAGACAAAGCAGTCCATACGCCTTTCAAAGTTGAACATGCTGATGTATGTGCAACATCCTATGCAAGATCGTGCAAAACACGACTACTACAGCCACTAGCCTAAACAGACCGTCAATATGGGCCACACCTGTAAATAGACAGAAGTGTTGGCTTTTCTTTCTCTATATTAATGTCGTTTGGAAAAGTGATGCATGCCGTGTTTCACAAAAAGAGAATGCAATTGTCAATCTTTTGGACACCGGAGTCCGATGCAGAACTACACATACAAGGCAAAACAAAAAAAGGTAGTACCAATGGGGGGGATCGAACCCACGACCTTGGGTTTATTAGACCCACGCTCTAACCAGCTGAGCTACATCGGCAGATACTTGTAGAAAGCGCATCAAATACTAAAAAAGCTGTCAAACGTTATTGTTCGATTACCATGAGACGAACGATAGTTCATATGACATTTTTGACAAACACACATGTATACCAGTCGTGATGTGCTATCTGTTATGTACAGTATGCATATATCATTTGTATTGCAGTACTCCGAGTACAGTGAAAGGAAGTCCGAATTGAATTTAACTACAGTCTATCATACTTCCGAGAATTTACCTTGCTGTACTCTCGGAGTCTCGACTGGATCAAGACATTGGAAAGTATGAGTACCAGGTACAAATACCGGGTACTTGTATCTTGTATGCATATGCATACAGGAGTCGACAGCAGGCACCAGTTATCGCCGTCTTGTCTGCGGTCCGCAGGCCGCACATCATCAAATTCGGTGAATGAGAAGCCCCGAACATCCGGTGTTGCGGAGAAGTACACAGCGGAACAACAAAGTCAAGAACACTCGCGGCTCTCATTCCACCACACGATTAGCCAGAATGAATGCTCCGCCAGAAAGTGAAATCATGGACGACAGTTCTATCAATAGCGTCATACTAGTCGCCCGAAACGGCGATCTCGGTTCGAGTGAAGCACCCGAGCAGGATGACGCCGTTCAAAGTCGCGTGTACCGACTGCTCCTAAGCATCTCGGCCTTGGCAGTTCCACTCTTGATTGTTACCTTTCTACTGTTCCCAGCCGTCCTTGTGGTGCTGATATTGTTGGCCATTTGTATTGTTCCCGCAATCTTGATTCTGTGTCTCGGGTTTGTTCTGTACCTTTGTGCACCCCAAACTTCGTCGTCCTTTACGGTCCTGTGGGGCGCAAATGCAGGAGAAAATCAAGCAGCACGACGATGGGATTTGGACTGGACGTTGGCTGATTATATTGAAGCAGCTGCTGGCGGCGGTGTTCAGGAACCGAGATCAAGAGATGATATCGAGACATTGCTAATTCTAAAGACAGTCATAGCGGATGTTTCCAACGACAGGGATAGAGGAGATGATGATAATGAGGAGGAGGAGAAGCAAACAATGGAGGATGATCAATCGCATGATCGAGATGGACATAAAGAGCTGGAGCTGGAGGAGGAGGAGTGAAGTTGTCAAAGTGAACAGTGATTCCTCAAGAGTCCAGTTGAGCGACAACGATCGCATTGCAAACATGGAGGATGATGACGGCAATGAACATGATATTGAGACTGGAAAAGTTCCCTCTGACCCGAAAAGCGCCTCCAATACTTGTTTAACAATTGGACTAAGTGAGATTGAAAAATCCTGCTGTGATATATGTATGATGGATTATGAAGTGGGAGATGTGGTGTCCCAGTCCAGGAACGTGAATTGTGACCATATCTTTCACAAGGACTGCATTTTGGATTGGATGCAAAAGAAGCATTCCTGCCCTTGCTGTCGACGAAATTATCTTGGAGAAGAAGACAACGATGGCATCCCTATCATACCTACCAGGAGGTGGACAGAGAATCTGTAAAGTACCAGGCAAGTGTTAACAAAGTATTGAGAAGAATATCACATGAACAATCACAGAGAGTTTCAAGAGCCGACGCGAGCAATGAGTTCTTTCGGTTCTTGCTTTGGCTATGTACTGTGAATAATATAACTTGTGATTCTCAGACAATCGGTTTGGTCGAACCCAATGCGTGGATTCCACCTCTTTGCGTCGGCCGAGCTGAAGGCCTTGGAGGCGGCAAGTGCTGTACACTCAGAGCGGTACGTCGTACTAGAGTAGTAATGCTGTGTGAATGATGGTCATAAGTACTCCGGCGTAGGCTCCAATGGATGGAGGTCAGCTACATATTGGAAAACGCTCCGAAAGTAATGTGGTCCTTGCTAGCATACTGTATTGCAGTAGGAGTCCTTGCGTAAACGTGCCCATCTGCAGTACAAGAACTTGTTTCCGTACAACTGCACTGGAGTACAAGTACAGTACCCTCGGCAGTACTAGTACATGTACTGGAGTACTATGTACATCACAGATTACTGCTCGTGCTCGGTGCGTATCATACGTTGTCGAAAATGTCTTTTAATACGCGCCTTGCAGTCTGCTGCAGTCATCATGGCGATGACATTTTTGTTCCAAATGCCAAATGCCTCACAGTACCGAACGATGATAACTTAGCGGAGACGATGAAACAAATCACACGCGTATGCGCTTGTATTGTCATCCCTCTTGTCTTTATTTCTAATTTTGTGGAATGGAAATCCGAGCAAGGCGCTCTATCGACTGCTAGTTTGACCTCGAAGTCGAAGAAACCGGGATCTGCTTCCAAATCCACCAAAAGATCCAAAAATGCGTTTGTGACACTGTTGGCCGGCATAGATCCATATGATACCCTTCCTTTGGATCGAACATCATCATACCTTGGATATCTTCTCCACTTGGCGGCAGTCCGCTTCATGTTGTCTGAAGCTGGTTCCACTGTGGATATTGTTGTATTGATGCGTCTAGTCAACGGAACAAACCTACCCTTGTC